AGCCTTTGGAAATAATGATGAATTAGGCAATGATTCATTACTGGCAAAATCCTTATATCTATTCTGGAAATATTTGAACTGTATTGAATATCAAAATGTAAACGGATACTATTGCACTTCGGATTCCACTATCAAAAGATTATCTATAATACCTAAAATCTGCTTTTGTTTCCAGTAAAATAATTTTCAAGTATTTTCGAGATATTTCGATTGCTCAACTTGCCCCTATGCTCAACTAGCCCCGCCCTACCCTAATTTGGATTCTAATCAGAAATTAATGTATTAGACAGTAAAAAATGATTAAATTTAAAATTAAGCAACAAATACTTTCAATAATTCAGCAAGATTAGACAAACATCAAGAAGGGAGAAATTAGTTCCAAATAATTCATTAGAGGTTGAAAGTCGGCTAATGTACAAAAAAATATATGCACTGTGCAAAGTTGTTCACCAATGTTCTTGAGATTGGGATTTGCTGTTTGCAGAAGAGATTCGTTTGTAAAAACTCTACTTATATAATAAAAAATTGGCACTGTGTAACCCTTATTAGCATTTTTGTGAAAACTATTGGTGCATGGCATCGTGCCTTAAAGCAAATTGCTGAAACTTTCCGTACCAGAATTAAATAATCGAGAAAAACAATCAGTGATCAATAAATATTGATCAATGATTAATAACAATTGTGTTAAACATTTTCAAATAAATAATTATAATCACTATATATTTTATCGTTCATAAAATATACAGTGACGATCTTATCGCTCAAAACACTTGAGAAAGTTTACATTAGCAAGGGGTGCCGAATAAATCCCTCTGAGGATTTCTTACGGTTAGAATAACGCATTTGCAATATTTACGATTTCAAGCTGAATTTACAATTCATATTTGAAGTATAAAACTTTGTACATTTTTGAAAATTTTGAATTTTTTTTCGAAAAGACCGCCAAATATAGTTTTTTTTTTTACTTTTTCCTCTGTATCTCCGAAACCGCTAGACCTGCCTTAAAAATTTCGTTAATTCTTCATTTCGTCAATACAAGATAAATGTTTTTTAAATAATTCAAATCGGGTGCTCCGTTTTCTCAAAAATTGAATTACCGTTTTTCGCACTTTTTGCCCCGTATCTTCGAAACGGCTGGACCAATCAGCACGTCTTCTCGTCGAAGGAATCGAATGTTTTAGAATCATTCAAATCAGTTGATTCGTGCGCCCGAAATCGTGGTCAAAGAATTGTATCCAAACATACATACATCACACACACACGCACACATACATCTATTTTTTCTAAAGTATGTAAAGTAAATGTTCAAGAACCTTCAAAACGTGAAGATATACAAAAATTTTCATTTTCGATTTTTTTGCGATTACTATAACTTACCCTACTGGAAGTTAAAAATCTAAGCAGTTGTTTCGAATGAAAAATACTAAAAAACTATAATCAAAATAGTAATAATACTAATAATAACAAAAATGATTACAAACAAATGATGATTTTTTTAGGATTAACATAAAAATAGATTATTGGGAACACGCTTTTTGAAGAGGGGTGAACGAAATCTGAAAGATTCCTTTGCGTGAAGCAATTAAATTATTTTTTGACCTTAATTTTATTTTTGTAATTACTGAACTGATTTCGAGTTTATGTCCGGGTTCGTTTAGTACCTTTCGATTTGCACTCGCTAAATATTTTAATAAATATTACTATTTTTGGCAATACCTCTTATTGTTAGTCTGTATTAACAAACAAGATTCTCGACTAGAAAATTATTATCAAGTAAAAATATTCCACATTAATTCCAGATATTTATGTTTATATTTACGACTATATCCTGTCAACAAAAAAAAATACACATGATAATTATATCTGAATACGTAACGAGAAATATGTATAAATTTATGAATTATGAATTATGCTGATTATTCATGGAACTATTGTTTATACAAGAAATATTACTTAATATGTTATTCAAATGTAAGGCACGATAACAGCCGAATG